CATAAACACATTTCATTACACCAAATACACAAAATAATGTTCTTTTTAGCAGCATCATATGACCCCTTTAAACAATGTATAGCCTCGAAATTAACATTTTAGTCTTGAGAAAAAAAAGTAAATTAAAATTAACATTTGACATATAAAAATACAGCATTTCATTTTGTTGAGCTTCAAAGATCATTAAATTTCACCATATAAAGAGTGAACTAAGTGAATTAAACATCCCATGATTCCCATCTGAATTTGATATATAGATTATCTGTTTATGATATTAAAAATACATTTAGAATAAATGCAAAAAAAAAATTATAAAATAAAAAATTAAAATCAGTAGAAAAAAATATGTATCTCCTGGTAATAAATGTCCAGTATCTTTTCTGTTATTTTATATATATATAACAGACATCTAAAAAGGAAAAGTGCGAGACTCTATGGAGGGGCTATTGTGTTTCATTGAATAACTTCTTTCTCCTAGAACAGGAGTCCATTCCTTTTCAACACTGGCTTCTTTTTTTCTCCCTTTATCCGTCTCTATTTCCTCTCATCGCGCTGACTTTCGGACATGGTACACACTCATTGATTCTTCTCATTCAGTCTCCTGGGAGAGAAAAATTCCCCTGTTCCCGTTTACTAAAGTGGGGACTATTAGTGCACAGGGTGAACGGAGAAGGGCCTTCCATCTTTTAACCACACTCCAGGGGTTTGGCTGCAGATTGTGTGCACGGAGACCACATTGATCTTTCACACACTCATTACCGCCATTTTCAATTAGAGCCTGGCACAGCTATCAGCCACTTTTTGAAAAAAAGAGGCCCTGCTCATTCTTCACAGGCTTTCAGATTCCTCACAAGCCACCTACTCAAAGAGGCTCTCTATCCTGGCCTTTTCCCTCAGATAGGACAGCGGCAGATAACGCCATTCGCGTAATACGGGTGACAACAATGCTGGGTGGGAGGAATGATTCCAAAGCATCATGGAATGCAAACACAAGTTCAAAACACATCTTTGGCTGTTTGCCCCACTAAGAGAGGACGTTTATAAAGCAATCCCGCCGATAGAGCTGTAGATAAGTTTCAGGCTCTGCAGAGCAGCAAAAAGGGGATTTAAGAGTAAAATATCTAAGCAAGCCAGAGATTAAGCATTCAAGAAGTTAGTAAAAGCTGTGCTTACCTGCACTGATCATTCTATGATCTTCACAAGGCAAAAAGGAGGGAGAAAGATAAGAAAAATACTGGTTAGCATTGGTTAGTGGCAAAGCAGCAAACATTGGGGAGACTGGGGAATCATGGGATGCATGAAAATGGGACAGAATGAAGTGGGACATAAAAGCTCAAGATAGAGAGGCAATATCTGATGAAGCTGAGCCGTCAAGTTTCTCATCTGCAGATTACCTTTGACTGCATAGTATTTAATAAACTCTAGGATTACAATCAGAAATGCAAGAAAATCAATAATAAATCAGTAACTAATGTAAATTAAAAAAAAAAGAATCTCATTAAAGCTATGTCAAGATCACTACAAAATAAAAATAAATAAATACAAAATAAATACAAAATGTTGTATCAAATTATTTTTAATAATTTGGAATAATAGGAAACCATTTTCTATGCATTTTAAGGACTATCAAAATGCGAAGACCATACAGTAATGCAAAAAAGGGGATATTTATAAAACAACATTTTTATTTTATAATTTTAAAACTATTTTATATATGATAAAATGTATAAAAAGTAAACATTTAAAGTATTATATTCCATTTATTTACACTGAATTACATATTATCATTCATACATAATGGTAGTAGGTTGTAGAGACCTGCGCGGGACGGATTTTTGCGGGACATCAAAGAAATTTACATGAAATGGTTCTGTAACATCTCCTAAGATCCACAACTTCCCAGCATAAATGCTCCCTATAAAATATTTGTTATTTAGGCTAAGCATCAACATTCACAAACCACTGTTATTTTTAACAGAAAAGCAAGCTGCTGCGTGCATGATTTGGCATGGCAGAATGCGAGCACCGCTTCCTTTATTAACACTAAAAGCTGACATCTCAGTTCCTCGCGATCTCATAAAGCTCTGTTATAACACAATGAACATATGCACAATGAATCTTTCACAATGTCTACACTTCGTGTGTTAAAATGAGACGATTCGTGAGCACGCAATTTCAGCACTGCGGTGAGTGGATTCTAACTTAATCACCTCTGGTTGGCCATTGCGTTCCAGAAATCAACAGCTGAGTCTGTGATTGGCTACATTGCGCAACCCTTTAAACACGTGTTATAAATAGAAACTCTGCCTATCTTGCACCTGTTAATCATTTTAATCTTATTAGTTGTTCTTTTTGCTTTTGTGCAACACATAAATAACAATGTATATGTTTTAGACACTTTATGTTTAGATCATTTCTATTTTGCGGGAGTCCCGCGAATCATTTTATTCTCCCGCATCCCGCACACACACGAGTCTCTTCCCGCCCGCAGTTGTCCTGCGCCGCACCCTGTTGCGCTGAGTTTAGGTCTCTAGTAGGGTGCTTATTTAAAAGGTGCTGATTTTAATAGTCATGATAATATGATAACATAATAATATGTAATAGTTGAATGCACTGTAAGTCCTTTTGGATAAAAGCATCTGCCAAATGCACAAATGTAAATACAACAATAATAGTAATAAAAAAAATAATTGTGTCAAGACTGGAATATTTTCGCATTATTGAAATGACAATTTGAGGGACAATTTGTGCTTAATTGTCATGAAATAAAATAAAATAATAAAAATAAATTCTTCAAAAATCACAACAAACACATACATACAAATGATTCACTTATTTTTGATTTGGGGATAAAATGCGACCTGCTTTTCTTTGTGAGATTCACCCACATCTTTTATTTTAAGATAATCACTGCTGCTCTTCCAGACAAAAGACTAGCTAGCCTAAATCATCGCATTCCCAGTGGCTTAAGATCACTCCATTAGGTGAGTGAAGCACCTGGCTGACACACAGGCACAAATACTTGTTCCATGTACTCATGCTGTCGCCATATCAACCTCCACTCTGATGCAGTTTGTGGGTAACTGACACCAACTGCAAACCAGGTCTCATCTATAAAGCATGAGCGTGTGTGCGAGAATGAATTTACCTACGCAAAATAAAGCACACCGCCACTCCACAACAGGCCATTACTGAACCTGCCATAGGCAAAGCCTTTAACAACAAGTTCTGACGCACTAAACCTTCACTTAAACCTACACCTGTGACAGTTGCATTCATATCACTGCTTCATCTCAGGTCTCAGCTAAATAAAGTCTATTATATGTGTAAGACAGACCAGGATGTTTGTCAAAAATGCAAGAAAATAAGCAAATGAAGTGTCGTGTTTATGACTCACTAGGCTTCCAGACAGCGGTAAACTTGAGTCTGAGCTGATAGGAAATGATGGAGAAGAAAACAATTACTCATTTATGAGCATCTCGACTATTATAACTTCTGTAATCCGGCATCTTTATAAGTACAGTACATGAGCTTTCAATATGTTCACAGCAGGGGGCTTCCCATCAGACAGGAAGGTGAGGTGCGTTGTTCCACACTGCATGCTGCTTTCGTCACAGACTGCAGACATGGTGTGCATAATCGGTGGAAGAACCTTATTGTATTTGTATACTTCTTTTGTAGACCAGGAGCTTTTAAACTAAACCACAAGAAGGAGCACTAGAGGTCTGGAGAAATATTCAGAGAGAAATGGTGTAAATTAAATAAATAAAATTGAAATTTACCAAATTTGACATTTGTAAATGTATTCAAAAACTGTAATGAATTCTGTATGAACTTCTTTGGGCTATTTTGCATAAATGCCACTTTGAACACAAACCCACATCTATCAAAATTTGTCTGTGACAAATATTCTGGGCCCAGTGGGTTTGGCCAGTCACAATAAAAGTGAAAGACTCTAAAAGTTGCTTGGGAGTCACACTAGAGAGGGCACTTGAACTCCACTGCAGCATTAATACAGAAAACAAAGAGCTTATTGAACTTGCAGGGGGGCATTTGTATCACCGCAGAGCAGTACAACTCCAGTTTCCCCTGAACAGGCCCCCAAACACTGAGGTCTGCCAGGGATACAAGTGCATGGACAGACGGGGAGAAGGCAGAGGAATCTAAAAACATGTTCTTGAAACATCAACTTCATCCATGTTTTTACACTGGCAAAGCCACAGTAAGAAATAACTGGATATCGCTGAATATTTTGAGGTCATCTAAATGCAAGTGTATGTCTAAAAGTTAGTCTTTAGAGTATATATGCATTTTAAATTTACAGTCTTCTTCCTAAAGGGGTCATATGATGCGATTTCAGTTTTTCCTTCTCTTTGGAGTGTTACAAGCTCTTGGTGCATAAAGAAGATCTGTAAAGTTGCAAAGACTAAAGTCTCAAATCCAAAGAGATATTCTTTATAAAAGTTAAGAGTCAACCACGCCTACCTAAAACGGCTCGTTCTAACACGCCCCCACATGTCTACGTCACGATGTGGGAAGATTTGCATAACGCTGCCCAAATGTTCACGCAAAGAAAGAAGGCCTAACTTTTATTCTCGCTGTAGTATTGTTGCTGCTGCCATGTCGTGAAGGCGCTGTGTGTTTCGTTGTGAAACCGAAACTACTTTGTTTGGCCTTCCAAAAGAGTACGATATCTGCTTCGTCATGCCTAGAGCTGATCCGTGCTGGTCGTTGAGGAAATACATCAACTTCGCGCTGTGGATCGCCAGATCGGCTTTCACCGTGGACGAAGCGGAGTCCAGCCCGCTCACTCAAGCCCGCCGGCCATCGCTCACTCTAGCCCGCCGGCCATCGCTCACTCTAGCCCGCCGGCCGTTCCTCACTCTAGGCCGCTCACTCTAGGCCGCCGGCCTAAAATCTCAAATCTAAAAATCGATGCGTTTCAGAAAGGCGGGGCATAGAGGAGAAACAATAATGTACAGTATGTGGAAAATAATGTGCTTTTTGAACCCTAAACCGCATAAATACATTTCATTACACCAAATACACAAAATAATGTTCTTTTTAGCAACATCATATGACCCCTTTAAAAGGGCAAAAAATATTGACGGCATTATCCTGCACTACACAGATTTTTGTAATAATGCTCTCTAGATAAATGCCTTCTTTTAAATGTTCTCCAGAACATCTAAATTATAAATATAAAAAAATATCAATTTAATTTTAAACCAAATGTAGTGCCTATTAGACATTAGACAGTTTCAGATGGAGCTTGTCTCTCCTTCTAACACCTAAACCAACTAGCAGCTAATAAATAGCAAATAGCAAATATTTAAGACTGCATCTTTGATATGACCCAAAACCAGACTTCCTGTTTCAATCCTTTTCAAGTGGGGTCTTAAAGTTTCACTTCAGAAAAAAACAAAAGCAACATCATTAGCTCGCTGTCACAAGAGAAGACAACTCTGTAATTTATACAGAACGTGGATCAATTACCCTTTCCTGTGACACTGCTAACTCTCAAATGCTACTTGTGCTATCTATGCATTTCAGACCCTCCTCTGCCTGCAGTGCCTGCAGTACTACTTAACTCCAGAGCTAAAGGTCATGGACACTTATTTGCATGTGAGAGAACTTCTGAAACTTCTGAGCATTGTGCCCTCTACATTAGATCTCCTTTGCATGTAAGAATTTTCAGACTTTCCTCTTTATTTAAATCGGCTCATTTTTTGGCTTGACATCACATAACTGAGTTAAGCGAAGCCGTGAAGTCATGTGGCTTAGCTATTCTCCATTCAACTATGTTCAAGTGGGGCAGACTTGGCAAAAATTTCTACTCCATTGTGTAACTGTGACCAAACAATCCCGTTTAATCCTCTTAAACTCAAACAGGCCTTGAGAATAAGCAGGTAGCATAATACGGGTACATCAAGAACAAGCCACAGTCTTTTTAAACATACTGCTTACACAAAATCTACATCAGACTAGAGCTATACAAATACGATTGATAGATCAAGCAGTTTGACAGGTGGACAGACAGACAGATGGACAGAATTATAGACAGAAAGACAGATAGATAATATAAATGACCATATTAAACCTACATTTCGAAAATAAGACAGACAGACGGATTAGACAGAATGACAGACAGATAGATAGACGGAAAGACAGACAGATAGAAAGGCAGATAGACA